ATAGCTATAAAAAAAGAATGATATTATGTCATTTGCAGCAAAGTGGATGTACCTGGAGAATATCATACTAAGTGAAATAAGCCAAACTCAAAATCCAAAGTCAACTGTCATCCCTCATATGCAGGAGATAGAGAGAAAAGAAGGAGAATCTCTCAAAAATATAAGGGAGACCAATAGAGGAGAGGAAGGAGATCTGTGGGGAGGAAAGAAAGGATAGAAAGGGAAAGAATTGGGGAATAAAACTGACAAAATTATCTTAAATACATGTACAAATATACCATAATGAATCCCATCTATATAATTATAATGCACAAATGAAAAAATATATATACATATAAGTAATCAGAAAGAATATTGGAGGAGATGAGGAAGGAGAAGAGGTAGAAGAAGGATGTGAGTAGTGGGAAATGAACTGTAACGTTATTTTATATGCATATATGAATATGTCACAGAAAACTCCAATATTATATATAATTCACTGACATTAAAAATAAAAGGATGAGACCCAGCTATTCCCCTTCTCGGTCTATTCCCTAAAGACCTAAAAAGAGCATGCTACAGGGACACTGCTACATCGATGTTCATAGCAGCACAATTCACAATAGCTAGACTGTGGAACCAACCTAGATGCCCTTCAATGGATGAATGGATAAAAAAAATGTGGCATTTATACACAATGGAGTATTACTCTGCATTAAAAAATGACAAAATCATAGAATTTACAGGGAAATGGATGGCATTAGAGCAGATTATGCTAAGTGAAGCTAGCCAATCCCTAAAAAACAAATGCCAAATGTCTTCTTTGATATAAGGAGAGTAACTAAGAACAGAGTAGGGTCGAAGAGCATGAGAAGAAGATTAACATTAAACAGGGATGAGAGGTGGGAGGGAAAGGGAGAGAGAAGGGAAAATGCATGGAAATGGAAGGAGACCCTCAGAGTTATACAAAAGTACATACAAGAGGAAGTGAGGGGAAGGGGAAAAATAATATAAGGGGGACAAACGAATGTCAGTAGAGGGAGCAGAGAGAGAAGAGGGGAGGGGAGGGGAGGGGAGGGGGGATAGTAGAGGATAGGAAAGGCAGCAGAATACAACAGACACTAGTATGGCAATATGTAAATCAATGGATGTGTAACTGATGTGATTCTGCAATCTGTATATGGGGTAAAAATGGGAGCTCATAACCCACTTGAATCAAATTGTGAAATATAATATATCAAGAACTATGTAATGTTTTGAACAGCCAACAATAAAAAATTAAAAAAAATAAATAAATAAAAGGATGAAATAAAAATGAAAAGACTATAGAAGATCTGAACAACTGTATGAAACAATTTAAACCGATTAACATTTAAAGAATAGTATACCCAAACTTCAGAATATATATTTTCAAAAAACACACAAGGAACATTCATCACATTTGAATTTCTGCTTGGTAATTAAACAAGGTTCAAAAGTTTCAGTGATTTTAAAGGACTGTAATAATATAGTATATTATCTACGATGACAACAAAATTAAGTTAGAAACATAACAAAAAGATACCCAGAAAATCTCCAAAATATTTAGAAATTAACAAACCTCTAAAAAATCCATGTTTCAAAATTTAAGTCAAGTGCAATTAGAAAATATATTCAACCAAACAATAATGAAAACACGATATTTGAAAACCTGTAAAATACAGCTAACAACAAGGCATTGGCACCAAAACAGGCACATAGAGCAATGGTACAAAATAGAAGACACAGAGACAAACCCACTTAAATACAGTCATCTCATACTAGAAAAAGGTGCCAAAAACATACAGAGGAGAGAAGAGAGCCTATTCAACAAATGGCACCTGGAAAACTGCAAATCCATAGGTAACAAAATGAAATCAGACTCTTATCTTTCATCCTGAACAAAACTTAACTCAAAGTGGATCAAGGACATAGGCATTAGACCAGAGACCATGCACATACTAGAAGAAAAAGCAGGCCCAAATCTCCATCATGTTGGCTTATGAACCAAATTCCTCAATAAGACTTTTAAAGCACAAGAAGTAAAATCAAGAATCAATAAATGGGATGGTATCAAACTAAAAAGCTTCTCAGTAAAGGAAACAAGAACGAGAATAGAGAGCCTACAGTGCCATCTGCACTTCAGATAGAGCCTTAACCTCCAGGATAGATGAAGAACTCAAAAAACTTAACACCATAAGCAAACAAATAACCAATCAATAAATGGGCAAAGGAACTAAACAGATACTTCACAGAAGAAATATGATTAATTAACAAATATATGAACAAATGTTCAAAATAACTAACAATTAGAGCAATGCAAATCAAAACTAAGATTGCACCTTACTCCAGTCAAAATGGCAATTATCAAGAATACAAGTAACCATAAATGTCAGTGAGGATGTAGATAAAAAGTACACTCTCACATTGCCCTTGGGATTGCAAATTCATGCAAACACTCTGGAAAGCAATATGGAGATTCCTTAGAAAACTTGGAACAGAATCACCATATTACCAAGTTATCCCACTCATTTGCATATACCCAAAGCAATTAAAATCTGCCTATTAAAGCAGCCACATCAATGTTTACAGCAGCTCAATTCACAATAGCTCAGCTATGGAACCAAGCTTGGTGCCCTTCGACAGATAAAGAAAATATGGTACATATACACAATGGAATATTACTCAGCAATAAAGAAGAATGAAATTATGGAATTTGCTGGGAAGTGGATTGAACTGGAAACTATCATGCTAAGTGAAATAAAGCAATCCCAAAAAAAATCAAAGGCCAAAAGTTTTCTCTAATATGTGGATGCTGACTCACAATAGGCAGGGTGTGGGGGGGCCAGGTGGAGTTTACTGGATTGGATGGGGTGTGGGGATAAGTGAGGGAAGATTGGAATGGAAAAGAAGAGTAAAACAAATCAAATATAACTTTCCTATGTTAATATCTAAATATATGACAGTGTAATCCCACTTTATGTACAACCACAGAAATGGTACTTATACATGTATGTATATGTCAAAATACATTCTATTGCCATGTGTTAACTAAAAAATGCAGCAAAAAAAATTGTGACACTTGAGGTAAACCACAGTTTCTTAGGTTTTTTCTTTTAAAGAAAAATACACTATTAAAAATTTCATAAACTAAACTTTTGAATAAACACATAAAAGGTTCTACTTGATGAATATAGTATTAAAAATAAAGCACACAACTTAAAAGAAGATCTCAAGTGTGTGTGTGTGTGTGTTGTGTGTGTATTTAATGAGGATCCTGTATATTGAATACACAAAGGACTTTTAAAGCTTTATAATTAAAAGACAAACATCCAACTAAAAATAAGTGAAAACACTTGGAAAGACATTTCTCCAAAGTAGGTAAGAAATGGCCACAGGGGAAAAAAATGTTCAAAATTATTAGTCATCAGATAAATGACAATTGTAATCACAATGTACTAATATATACATTGGAGTGGCTAAAATCTAAGGCTAGATTGACAACACCAAATGTTTGGGAGGGAGTGGAATGACAACTATATCATCATGGTGGCCAAAATCAGGAGTAGCCCAAGTGTCCATTAATAGGAAAATGGACATGTAAAATGATGATTCAATGGAGGACTACTTAGCAATGAAAAAGTACAATTTATAGAGCCATGCATGAATTCAGGCAAATCTCAAACACATGCTGAAAGATGATGAGCACAAAACACTGCTCACTGTAGTAACGCATGCATATGAAATCCCAGAGAGGCAAAACTGATCTAGATATGAGAAACAGAATGTCAGAACCGGGCTTGCTTCTGAGGGATGGAACTGACAAGGAAAAGGAGCAAAGGACTTTCTGGAGTCATAAAATCTACACTAAAAATCTCAAAATCTCACTGCCAGTTTAGCCAAAATGAATCCGTTTCTCTGCTTGAATCCAGGTATCAATATTATAGCTCCTCCCTGCCCAGATACCAAGTGACACTGGTGAACTGGAAGATTTGAGAAATATTCTCACTGAAGAGTTAGCATTTCTCAATTTTGTCACCAAGCAGTAATTTAATTTTATAAATTGGAACTATAAAATACTTATTTGAAGTCGATTCCGTTTACAAAACAACAAACAATGCTACTATTTATATGAGAATAAGGTTAAAGATTCCTCCCAGCACTAAAAGAAGTGCTTCTCTCTGAATATACTTTGCTTGCTGGCTGGCTGAGGAATACATAACTATTAGGCTTCTAATTTTTGTCTTAGCTGCCAGGAAGTTTAGAGCCAAGTTCAGTGCTCAGTTTAGTGATTAGCACCTTAGCCCCCTGATATATTAATTTTTTTCTGGGACAGAGGGTGTAAAAGGTGGTATTATAGTATCCTGTTCATATTGTGAACCACTTTAAATCATCTGGGGAAAATAGTCACATATAAAACACATAAAATGCTGGCCAGTTTGACAAAATCAAATATTTTTTCAGTCTAGATATAAACATATCATATGCTTCTTTTATCAAAAATAGTTGGATTAGGAAGGATTTTTACTGTTGCTTAAATGAGCCTTCTGCAAAAGGTATGTCACTATCCAGCCAAATAAATGATCGAATCATGTAAAAAACCATCACTTTAAAATACAACTTACTGATAGGGAAACACTTCACTTATATCTAATTGTAAGGGTTAGACTTGAAGAACCAATGTAAAAGTATGGAATATGCATGTTAAGAGTCCCTCATGCATCATAGATGGCATGAGAAACTTAAGTGCACTTCATTACATTCTTAGGATAAAGGAAGAAACCAGATCAGTACACAAATGTGCTCACTGTTACTTTTCTGCAATAACTAGTGTCGGCTGCCTTTATTTTTTATCAGCGGGATAGGATATCTTCTGCCCCTTCTCATTTAACAAAGCCATACAACCTTGGACCTAAGGAAAAAATAAATTGTCTTTATTCCCAGAGGGAATATTCTAATGTAGCATTAATCAAAACAAAATGAAACCCAACCAACCCCCTCACCTGAGCTGCTTCACTGTTCATGGATCCCATCAGCTTGTCCTCCTTTGGCACTCTTCTCCATGTGGCCAAGGACTCAGCACTTCTCTCACTGTGAACTCTTTCTGCTGACTTTTCTTGCATCTGACTAACTTGCTTTGTCGCAGCCTTTTGTGAATCAACCTGTTGGTGGGAAGTAATGATTTATTATGAATTTTTTTGACATTTCAAATTCTTTAAAAAAATCCTAAACTTGCCACACTGTAACAAAGACAGAAAGAGGGAAGCAACAATGAACATCGCTGGAAAAATGTGTAGTAGCAAGATCCAGACCCTTTCTCATCAATGGGACAAGAACAATTAAAATTAATGTCACTGTTAGGCATTCTTTAGAAATTATCTCTTCAGATAACTTGCTTACTGAAAACCAGCATTTTTTTTTTCTGGAAAATTGTCACATTTTTCACTGCATGTGAATTCATTATTAACCTTTGCTGGGGTGGATCCAGTGTATCTTTGTAGTTTAATTTCTTATTAATTAAAATCTTAGTTTTCTCTCGTTGAAGTGAGTCTAATTAATGTGAGAGTAGAGAAGGAGATGCTGCTGCTCCTTGCTTTTTGCAGGTAGTTTAACCTGTGAGCAAGATGAGTAACGGTTCATGTCATCTAGTACAGTGTGCCAGTACCAGAGGTTAACTTCTGCAACAAGCTTGCTGTCTCTAAGGTTTGTCTTTCACACCATGGTGCTATCTGGGGGATGGCTGACTCTCAATAACCTTGAAGAGACACAGAAATAGAAGGGCAGATCCTACAATACAGCTGGAAGATTGAAAGCTACGTGAAGGTCCTTATGTGAAGTATTTGTACAGCAGTTTCATGTTTACAGCAGCTGAAAGTGCCATCACCTTTTTTCATGGGTTAAATAGGGAGCAGAAGACAGGAACAGCACAAAGGGAAATAATGGAGTAGCCAGTGCCAAGACAGAGAATAAATTACATTGGCTGGGCAAACAGAGCCTTAATTTGTAGTCTCTCGATTTTTAGCTTCTATTGCCAAGTGTGTTCATTCCATCCCTTTAAAATATGCTGGTGTTTTGTGGCTAGCTCTAAGTTGTCACAACACCATTCTTTATTTCCACCTCCTCCCGGATCTCAGCTTATCAAAGAATGGCAAAACTACTGCCTTTTAGTAACCTGCAAATTGGAAATGTTTCCTAATCACTCAGGGATTCTTTATTTCACCACTCAACCATCTCAAACTACTGGGAAAATTGATGGGTAACCATCTTCTGAGCCACTCTTCCAATGACATCATCTTGGTAATAAATGTACTATCATACCTCTAGTGAGAGACAAAGGGTCTCCTGAGGTGTGTGCACACTGATCCTCTGAAAAGACTGGCTTAGTAAGCATTGTGAAAATATGTTCTGTATTATAAAGAATTGAGATATTTCCCCTCCATCTTTACTGAAATATAATTGACAAATAAAAGCTATATATTTAAGGCATATGCTATGTTTTGATATACATATACTTTGTGAAATTGGCACAGTTAAGATCATCAACTTGTGATAACACATGGTATTTATCTTTCCCCCTCTGGTTGATTTCACATAGCACAATGTCCTCTTCCACATTGTTGCAAATGGCAGGATTTCTTTCTTTATGGATGGATAATATTCCACGCACACCATTTTTCTGGGGGGAGAGGGGTACTGGGGGTTGAACTCAAGGGCACTCAACCACTGAGCCACATCCCTGCTCCTATTTTGTAGGTTTATTTTTATTTTTTTTAGAGACAGGATCTCACAGAGTTACTTAGCACCTTGTTGTTGCTGAGGCTGGCTGTGAACTCCTGATCCTCCTGCCTCAGCTTCCTGAACCACTGGGATTATAGGTGTGCACCACTGTGCCAGGTTACCACATTTTATCTATAGATTTATTAGTAAAACCATGTTCTTTCTATACCTTAGTTATGTAAATAATACTATAAGAAACAATAAACAAAATGTACTTAGTGAAGCAAGTGCTGTAATAAATTAAAAATAGGTACTGCAGAGACCTCTAAGACATCATTATTTAACTTCCTTTGGAAATGTACCCAGAACTGAGATTAGTTGAGATATCATTGAGGATTTTAGTACCACCTGTATGCTAAGCATTTTAGGTACCAGTTTTCTCACCGGGAGCCTCTGACATAAAAGTAAAATATGTTCATTGCTATGTGATGGTTCTTGGTGCACATACTGTCATTGGTTGGATGGTTAGGCTTCATTGCTATGAACTCTTCTAGATGATAAACAAACTATATCCAGTGTATGGGATATTTCTAATTCTGGGGAAACTTAAAATGATGAGAGAAAAGTGGGATGATTATGTTTAATTCCTAATTGTGAACAGAGTATAACTTTCTGTTTCTCAAGGATATGAAAATATAGAAAACAGCTCAGGCACCCCACATAATCAAACCAAAGAACACTATCCAAATACGTGCCATTTTCAAAAAAGTTGCTATTCAAAATAAAGTAGTTTTTATTTAATTTTCCATTGAAAATTCGTACTGTTTTCTACAATCAAGCATACTTCTAGACTCCTAAAAAATCAATAAAAATGTGCTTCTGATTAAGAATTTGTATTGCCACTTTTCTCGTATACATAAACTAAATGGGAAAACAAATTAATAGAATTATTTTGAGAATTAAAGCTCAGGAAAGAATTTTGCAAATTACTATTACTAATACACCTTGGATTTGCTGTGGAAAACTCAGATTTAGGGTAAATGAAGGAACAAACTTACTGCCTGAAATACAGGAGAGCTTGAACATTTTTACTTTTCTACCTTACTAAAGATTTTAGGAAGAATGGGTGGCTTATTATGCCCAAGTGTCTACACCATTACAGTATGGATTCAGGCACCTCAATAAGGAGAGCCATATTGATAAAACTAATAAAAGGATCTACCAGTTCTTGAAGTAGATTATCCAAGGGTTGAATTTGGACCTTCAATAATACTATTTTCCAATTTGCTTTGACATTCTCATCTGGGAATTCTAGAGTTTTAGTTCACCTCAATAAGTGTTCATACTAAAATATGGTTTTCTTCATTGAATTTTGAACATTATATTCCGGTGGGGAATTGGGGTACATTAGCTCATTGTGGAGACCATAATTTCCAGGGACATGGCTCTGAGTTCCATCTATTGGATGTGTATACAAGTGCATACACACACATACACACACACACACACACATCTCTGTGAGTAGCATAAATAGACTCCAGCAGCCCTGATGATAGAATCTTCTAATTTGATTGACAGTGTGACCACAGGAGCTCCCAGAATTACTAGCAAGTGACACCAGCTATACATACCATGATTTTGATTGAGGCAAATACCCCAAAAGATTTGCTTTTCAAGAAAAAAAAAAAAACTATCAATTTCTTTACTATCTTGACAAAACTTCATTTCCAACTGAACTATAGTAACAGTATTTGAGGACTTCAAAAGGAAGCCTTGAATTACTGGAACAGTTTATGATACCTAGGAAAATCTATTAGAAAAATATCTCATTTTGCTTTGCAAAAAGATGTTATAAGTGTGCTGCAATTCTTATTAGACTCTAACCCAAACATGTTTTTTTTATTAAAAAGGCTAAATTTCCCTTAGTGTAAGTTTAAAATTTTTTGAATGAAAGAACATTCATAACTTCTTCCCTTTGAATAATGAATCATAGAAACATTTTATTTATATCTGTATTCCTCTTTGGGTCCAATGATTTCTTTTTAAGTATCTTTGTAAAAAAAAAAATACAAGTCCAGAGTTTATTCACTAGTCTGTTAACTAATTACAACAATCCACATACAGAGTAACAAGAAATATTTTATAATAATAAGAGGATTTATGACAAAAGAAAAACTTGGGGCCATGTGGTTGATTTCATTCTGGCTCTAAATCATTTTTGTTATAGAAACAATCAACTGTGGAAATCATACTACACTTGTATCATTTGCAGGAATTAAGCACAGGATAGTTGATATTGTTATACTCTGCATTTGGAAATTTCCAGGAAACTGTATTTTATACTATCATTAAATAAATTTGTGCACAATATAAAGTCATTAATAATTAAATACTGATCTGCTGTGAAATATATCTTAACATCTATACGTTGGTCTGATCACACTGTTAACCAAAACTAAGGTCTTAAGAATGCATGTTATTCTTAAGTTATTAAAGTGTTTTCTTTTTTACTCATAACCAAAGTGTTCTAATCAAAAGAAATAAAGTATTTTTGATGGAGCTCACTGGCAAAAATGTTTTATATTCTATTCTCTGCATATAAAAATGGTTTCATTTTGAACAACCAACAATAAAAAAAAATAAATAAATAAATAAAAAATGGTTTCATAACAAACACCCTTTGAATCTGATGAAACTGAAAATTCTGGTGGATAATAATCAGAGTTTTATATCAGAGGATATAGTTATTGGTTTTTAAAATGGCTTTTTTATATTTCAATTAAGTTTATGAAACTGAAAAACTACAAAAAAGGAAAAAACTCTACTTAAATTAGTGTAGATTAAGTGGTGACCATTACTGCAAGGGAAATACTATGTCTAGGAAATGGCTCTTTGTTTTGTTGGAAAAGTGATAAAAATACAAAAGTCAATAAAACTGTTAAAATAAGTCTCAGTAATTACCAAGATCAAAATCCAGTGGCTTTTTATTAAACATGAACTTTTGTTCTGCCTTCTGCAATACGTAAATAGTGCTGACAATTGGTTTGTGAAGCACTTGCTACAATAAAATGTAATTGTATCATGAGAGAAAGGTGACAATCAGGAGATCATGAAAAAATTACATATTCTCACTGGTAGTTAATTAGCCATGCAAAACCTCCTCAAACAGATATTCTCTTCTATTAGGAATGATTACTATGCAGGCCTACAGATGTCAATACCACAGTCATTCAAATACTTCTTTTCCTACTAATTGAAGGTTGTAAAGCTCTGGTGCCAAGGTTTTGCTTCCAAAGAGCTAATTTATGACTAGAAGGATATTTTATGTCTTCAGTTGCAGCAGCTACAAAATTCAGCAAATCAGAACCATCTGTGCACTGATACTTGACTCACCATTCATCTCGCAGCCTATCAGTCACATTAGTTTGCATCCTGCATTCTTGGCTCATGAACACTTGTGATGATCCAAAGTTCATAAGAAATATTAAAAATGAATGGCATCCTGACCTTACCTTATTGTACATGCATCAGGAAAAAAAAATGCCCTCCACATTTTTTTTTTTTTTTGCATGTGGACAGTGTCAAGAAAGAAATGGATATTTAATTACCTGTCCAATAATATTGCTTACAGTAGTCTCAGGCCTATGCCGAGTGTAAAGATTGAACATTTTTAAAATTTTTAAATCCTAATTCTTTGTATCAAGTTCTAATCCTTTTTTCTTTTTTAAAGAATGAAGCAAAGGAAGATGGCTGAATAAAGGAGGAGCCTTGATAGCTCTTTGTAAAAAAGAATCATTTGAAAGGATTGAAATATCAACCAATACAGATAACATCTAAGAATATTATCCAACACTAAATTATGGCCAAACTGGTAGGCAAAAATAAAGGGCAAAAACTGAAGAAAACCCAAAGAAAAGGAGCAAATAAAGACTCTCATGAATCAAGTCTGATCAGACATCAGGATGGCTTCATTTCCTTCACAGGACACAGCAGGCTACAGATCCTACACTAAGGTCAACCACCTCCTTGGTGCTGAGTTAGGGGGAACAGGAATTAAATATAATGAGCAAGGAACTGAGTTGTAAACAACTTAATTTGATAGAAAAGTTTCACAGAGACAATCCCAAGATTGTTACTTACGTTTTTATTGGGAGGAGAATACACACGTGTCCTCTGGCCTTCAGTGGAAAACTCCAGTGGTCCTAAGGGTATTCCACCAGGATTCAGAATTTTCTTGAGCGTTTGATAGTCTGGCTTTTCATTGTAAGCTAAACTATAAACACATGCTAAAAATTCAGCTATTTCACCTGTGAAGTATTAAATTGTTTACATGTAATTCATATTGGCAAGATTAGCAAAACCTCAATAACCTTAAAAATCTTTCTATTAAGTTTTCTCTCTTGTACATATACCCTGATTAATCGAAAAATGAACAATCCAATAAAGACCACTTTTTAAATGATATTAAAAAATGACTGAAATATACCTACCTACAGATTTGACTTAATAGGATAAACCTTTTGCTGGTATGTTTACAGTCATCTAATCTTATGGAAGGAAGCAAATTTTAATATCATGTAGCTACTAAGGACTATATAAAAAGTATAATATTTCAGACTTGCTTCAGACATTGCTTTATTTTGAACTTTAAAAATTCAGTTAAAAACCAATGTAATGTTTTATGAGCCTCCTCACTTCAAAAGGAAAAAAAAAAATCAGTGAAAATTTTAATTGAAGTTTTCATTTTTGAAATTGTAACAAAATATTATAGAAATAATCTTGAGTTCCATGTTTTTAGCAAGGATTCAATTCAGACTGCACAAACCCTCCCTCAAGTCCTCCATACCTAGCTAGCCAGGTGCAGTCACAACACAGTTTTGATTTTAGTTCAGAAGGATAAGGATAAGGAATTATCAACTCTTATTTTTTCTCTAAAATAAAACATATTCACATGGTTATCCTCCATTCCCTAAAAAGATTGTGGACTACCAGATTTCATTTACATTTTTTTATTTTTATTTTTTAAGTACTGTGGATGGAACCTAAGGCCTCACACATGCTAAACATGTGCTACCACTGAACCATACCTTTCAACCCAATAGCTTTTAAATATAAGTAGCATTAGTAACCAAAAATTACAAACATAGCTGCATCAAATTATTTCTAGTTTGCATTTTTGGTTTTGGTAGAGATTAAATCTAAAATTGGGATAGAAGTAGTGGTAATATCAGATACTACTGAAAAACTGGCAGACTTTCATTTGTTAATAGAGCTGTTTAGATATGCCTTTCCCCTTCAAAAGATATTACTGACCCAAACATGAATATCATTTAATCTCTCACTTAGTTGTTTATGCACCACAATTGGAAAATGTGGAAGTAATCATGAGAGGGCAAGAGTGGTTTCCTAGTAATCCTTCCCTTCCCCTCCAGGCCCACTCCATTCAAGAGGAAAACTGCAGAGGCATGAGTTTCACTTCCAATAGGGAAAAATTCCAAAAGCTATAGTTATCACCCCTTTCTCCCTATTAAAGTGAGAGTGACCACGTTATAGACTTCAGAGCTATTTTCATAAACAAAGTTAATGTGGCCAAAATGAGAACTCTAGGCTCTGCCTTTTTTTTTTTTTTTTTGAACCTGGACAATTGAGCAATTACACAACTACATTTTTTCCTTTTCTATTTATGAAATGCATCAACCTGTGCTATCTAGCATTTGGTCAAACACATCTCTCTTAAGTAGCAAATGCTGCTGTTTTATCATCACATTTATAATAGTTTCCTGAAAACCCAGGGTGGGAACATCCAATCCTAAAGGAATGATTAAAAAAAAAAAAAAAAAAAAGATTGAATTTCATTCACATGTACCATTTAAATGGTATCATTCAGTTGTTCTTTGGTTTTTAAAAGTGGTAAGCCAAGTATGGTGTATATTTACAATTCTGTTAACCAGAATATCCCAAATGGAGAAGAGAGCTGAGTTTGTGGGAACAAATCATTGTTGTAAGACAATGGAAACTCCTGGCACTCCACCAACTGATAGCAGCTGTGCTGCAAAGCCTTCATGGGACTGAGGTTTGGAAAAATGAGGTACCAGTGAGATAGGAGAAGGATAAAATGAAAAAAGCCACTTCCATTATAAATTTATTATTATAAACCTGAAGCTTAGACTATCATGATGTAGTACTGATTTAAATGTTAGCCTTTCAAGATCTGGATTTATTGTATTAAGTACATTTTTTAATTTACTAGCATATTTCTAGAGCTATAAAACAAAATGCTTTGAGTAGGATGAAATTATGATATTCTTGAATCACCTGCTTTTTAAGCTAGTGAAATATTAAGTATCATTGCTGACTATCATTTCAAAAGATAAAAACTTTTGAAGTTATCATTACACTGGGTTGGACATGCATGCTGCAAATCTCTAGACTATTTTATTTAATAAAACATCTTGGTGGTAAATGCTTTGCAAGGCCGTTCCTTTTTCATAGCTGTGCTTAAGCCTCCCAACTTAAGAGAATGTCACTTAATATTCAACATTGTGTGCTTTAGGAATAGAAATCTGCATTTTATAAATAGCAGTACAGACTCGAATAAATGGCTTGTACTAAGGAACCAGGCGTGCCTCCCATCTAGATTTCTCATGTGATTCAATCTTAATTTGTCTTTAATGAAAGAAGCATTTATCTTGAACAATCTAGAGTATCTGAACTTTCTTTTCCAATCCAAACCTGAAGGACATATAATTTGAAAAAGAAATAATAATATCTTTTTTTTTTTTTTGTCTCATTGAGTAAAACAAACTCTATGACTTGGCAAAAACCCCAATTTAAGAATATTAGCCAAAAAAGAATATTATCATTTTGTTCAAAGTTATTTCACATAGTCACAGAAACAAAAGTTTTATCTTGTAACCCATCTCCCTGAATGAGAGAGAGTCTTTCCTATTTGGTACCCTTCATCAGAAGAAAAGTACCACAGAATAGGGAAGACAGAAGACTCACATGAGGAAAGATGTAAGACTTAGAAATGAGAAATGGGAAGCAGAACTGGACCGTTTCTCTTTCATTTCCTTTACAAACGAAAATTTTGGTTTCTAGTCAAAGAAGGGCTGTGAATATAAGTTTAAGATGACTTAACTCTACTTTTCAACTCTCAAATGGGCACTGATGCTATGTGACCTTAACTAGAGGTTCGGTGTAGAAATCTACTCTGAGAAATCAGTTAAAAGCTAACCTTGACATTGCTGGATGTAAACAGAGATTAAGATTCATTTTGCTAATCTGACTCTAAGAAAAAGCAAGTGTGATTGCAGAGCTGGTTGGTTCTTTCATATAAAAAAATAACTGAACTGTAAAATAAGTACTAAATAATGTGTCATGTATCCATAAAGAAATGACAGAAATTTGGGTAATTCTGAGTTGACTTACTATTTTATACTGATAATATTGTCAATTAAAGAACTCCAAAAAGTTCTGTATGAACTTAAAAAAGAAAATCCTTTGTCAAATATACCTCCAAATTCCAAGATCAGATACTTTGCTCATCAAAAAATTTGCCAGTTAGGTTAGGGTATAACCCAGGTCTACAAAGCATTCGAGTGTTTAATGATGTGTTTTTTTTTAATATTTGATGAAAAGTAGTCTTTCCTTAGGTTGACTTTATCTTCTTTCAACAATACATAGAGAAGCAAACTGGAAAACCGTAATCCTAGAAAAATCAGATGCAGATGATGATTTAACCTGTGCATGATTCTCAAAATATGTATTTTAAAAATGCAACTGACAGAGGCTTGAACTCCACCTAAATAGTATCTTACAGGGTCCTTGTGTTCTAATGTCAGTGATGATCTAAACATTCTCTTCTCCAGCAACCTATCTGTAACCCTGAGGAGTTTCTTCCCACCCTGTGGGAACAGGAGTAGGTGAGTTAAGCAAAAACTACAAACAAGAATGACGAATGTGGTGACCTGAAAATCACAAGATAAAGCAGAAGTTATCATCTGACTTACAGCAACTGCTTCCAGATGGAGCCCACTTCAGCACTGACCCAGGCAGCTCATCCAACAGACTAAAACAAACAGAGGAAGACACAGTGAATCTGCGTCCAATTCTGTGTTCACTGTTTTAATTAGAAAACAAAACTGTAATTCTATCTTGGTAGGTCACCAAAATTATGACTTTCATTGGTGTTTTTCACCCACCTGTAATAGACTGGAGGATACATAAAAGTGAGGGAGATCCCTTCACTTTCACTGCCCAATTTTATACAATCACCTAGAAACTAAACTATATAGAATTATAGTATGAATGATTTAATTAATTAAAGTATACACACACACACACACATACACATACACAGGCATACACATATATACCCACACGCATATACAAACATACATACATATACACACATACATATACATGCATATACATATACACATACATACATATACATATACATACATATATAAATTCAGAAGTAGGAGTATTATGATTTTTTTCTTAAAAACAAAGGAAAATCATATAAAAATACATCTGGATTTTGAGGACATTTTTTCCTCAGGTATTTACTATTGGAGAGGCATATATTACTTATTCATGTATATTGTTCTCCATTGGGCAGTATTTTATGCTATCCTAAGATTAAACTGGTTAACAAGAAATTCTTGAAAAAAACATTATAAGCACTTTCCCATGTTTTAGGCTAAATAAGCACAACTCTCTTAAGTTGTTTTTGGCACAAATATGTAAATATTCAACTAAAATTACTGAAAATGAATGAATAATTCACAAACTCAGGCAAAGGCAGAATAGCAGCAATAAATGCACCATTTTAATTTCATCCTATCTTGGGGGAAACAAAGGGGTTAAGAGAAGTATAATGTTATGGTTGAATATACAATCATGCCCTTATGAAGATATTCCATGCTATCCCTTCTTAATAAGTTTAATAAATAATGACTATGTATTACAAACCATAAGAAGTTTGAAATTGTTTAAAATGTTAAACACTAAAAAGTTAGAATTCAGTTTATCTGAGTTATAAACTTCACAATGTAAGTTTACTGGCCTACAGGTTTACATTATTAATTAAACCAAAATGAAAGTATATTAACATATAAGAGTTCCCCAAAATGTAAATGGAGGTTATGTTTGACTTATTAAAACCTTGAGTTTTATATGAAACCTTAATATTCTGAGTATACATGTGTAAATATATTCATTATGGATCCTACAATGAATGCATCTATATATACATATTGACACAAACTAAAACAAATCATTAGTAAGTCCTCCTAAAAGTAAAACATGCATATATTCATTCAAATTAAAATGCTAGCCTTTGAAATAAAGTACATTATTCAAATTAGGTAAACTGAGTTGGAAAATTGGATATAAAAATGCCCATGCATACCCATTATTGTTTTTTTTTTTTTTTTTGTACCAGGGATTGAACCCAGGGACGCTTAACCACTGAGCCACATCCCCAGCTCCTTTATATATTTTATTTTGAAACTGGGTCTCACTAAGTTGTTAGGGCCCCACTGTTGTTGAGGCTGGCTTTGAACTCGTGATCCTCCTGCCTCAGCCTCCCCAGCCGCTGGGATTATAGGCATGTGCCACCACGCCTGGCTATTATTTTAGTAATAGTAATAATAATAATATATTATTGTAATTGTGCTCTGACTTGACACATACATTGGAGACCATCAGTTATATGAGGATTAATACAGACACATCAATTACCACAGTATATAACTGATTAGATGGTTCTAATATTTACTTATATGAATGTGTCAATTTTGGGTAAGGCACTAGGATAATCGAGATTCCAAGTAAAAAAATATTTCACAATATGTCAGTATTTATAAATATCATCTGTATTATTGTGAATCTGCAGCATAGTCTTTCTTCCTTCAGAACTAATTCTACTCTGAATTTGAAGATTGATTTCTATGGATAAGCTACCCCTTTTAGTACACTTCTGTTGTGACTTGGCCTATTTAAAACTTAGCTGCCTTTTCCAAATGTGATATTGTATCTACAGATAACTGCAGCATATCTTAGTATATAATGAAAGTCTGGGTACTCTGTGCCACATCCAATTGACTTTCGTGGGCCTGACCAGTAAGAGAATTGTAAAATAGTAACATACTCTAAGTTTGACCTAATTCTTTTGCTAACAGAATCAGCTAATAAAAATTGAATGTAGAATATTAAAAATGTTTGTGGCTATAAGATTATCTCATATAAATGGCTCATATAAAATCTTTGTTTCTTCCTTAGGCAACAGAACATCCTCTGGAACAGGAATAAGAGGTACATTGTTCTCACCTTAAAGATAAAAGCCCAAACTGTCTCATTTCACATTGTTGCTCTGCACAGTTAACATCAATCACATGAGTTCAGACTACTTTTATACACTTGTACAATGCTAATTTGAAAATATTCTTCTTTGAAAACACCACCACCTACAATCTAAGCTCTGGAAAACACCCTGTAAAGGAATGGATATTTCACTTTATATTTTGCATTGCAATTGAAGTACATGTGACTTTATAGGTGTTATCTTAATGCATTTTATGTTTGTTTGTTGTTAAAAGTATTTTTCAATTAAAGAAATGTACTTGGTTGTCATAGTGGATGAATGGTAATCCTGAGATATTAGCTCCCTTTACTGTATCCCTTCAGACCTGTTGTAGTAAAGGATGGAATGCTTAAAAATTTGTACTTTGTTTTAGCAGTCTGGACAGCCACAGGGTCCTTCAGGTTCTGTTCCCAGGGAAGTTTCCCACATGACCACCGCAGCATGCAGTAGCCGAGGATTTCAACGTCACTTCTTCTGGACAGGGCTACAGGAGTAAACATTAAGAGGGGGGATAAGTAAGTCCTTGAGAAAAAGTGAAATCTTTGAGTGAACTACTATTGATGAAATATGGAAAAGCCAAAATAGGAGAAGTGTTTTGTTTGTTCAGCTGGAGCAAAACTTAAAACGCCCAGGCGTTTGGCCCCAGTCCACAGACAGGCAGTGACTTGTTGCTGCTGAAAGTCAGGGTCAGTTTCCTCACCTCCTCCAACTTCATCTTTCCTTAGTCTGGCCTGTCACATGAACTTGATCCCCATGGCCTCTGACATGATCCAGACAACCCATAACCCGGCACCAACACTTTCTCAAAGAGCCAAGCAGTAAAACAAAGAAATAAATGTCTGCAGCTAAATTGCTAACATATGTTCCAGGAAGTCCATGGGGTCTGCATTGGTCATGCAGAGACCCTTTGAGTGCAGACTAAACACTGATGGCCTTTCCTGTTTTACCCACACTGGTGGCAGCATTTGAAATTGGAAGAATATGACAAAACTGCCATCTAGTGTGCAGTCTTAAACAGGCTTGTCTGGGGATTTTTCAGTTACATGAAAGGATAATTAAAATAGGTCCACTGCTTTGGATGCACAATTCTACAATGTTACAGATATTGTCTTATAATTAAGCAGCTCTAAGCTAAAATTCTAACCCCAGATCCTGGAAAGAAATCTAAAGGTGAGACAATGGATGGGACCACAGGAGAGAGGTGGGAGTGAGTGTGAAGCCAAATAGAGGTTCCCCAAATTTAATACAAGATGGCTTTTCATTTAAAAAAATACAAAGAACATTTTCATGGCCCTGTAAATATCATTTATATCAAATCATTAAATGCTATAAACTAATGTCATCATGATTTTATATACGTGTGTTAAAGTGCCTCTTATCAAAAGACGGACAATGAAACCTAAGAAATGTGTCAAACATAATTGATACTTGTTAAGTCACTGGAATAATGATTGCAACATCAGCAAATACCCATAAAATAAACTCATTTTTAACAACCATTTCAGACTGTTATAAAAACAATAGACTGGTATTTATATTTCTACCACTACTTGAATGTTCATCTGTGTAAGAATAATATAATCTCCCAAGACCAATATGTGACTGTTAAACCTGCTGTAAACAGGTATCCTGTTTTATTTTCTTTCATTAAATAAACTCTGAAAAGTCACTCAGTAAACTTAGTTTTTAATTTAAAAAGTCATCTACTAAGAACAATGATGCCATCATGTTGCAACTACTTTTGGTTACCATACGTAAGTAGTTATAAAAGCAGAAGACAAGATCAGCTCTTACACGTACTCTATCTTAACTGCTATTAGAGTATTGGATTATTTTTTTTTTAATTTTTTTTATTGGTTGTTCAAAACATTATAAAGCTCTTCACATATCATATTTCATACATTAGATTCAAGTTGGTTATGAACTCCCAATTTTACCCCAAATACAGATTGCAGAATCACATCGGTTACACATCCACATTTTTACATAATGCCCTATTAGTAACTGTTGTATTCTGCTACCTTTCCTATCCTCTACCATCCCCCCTCCCTCCCCTCCCATCTTCTCTCTCTACCCCATCCACTGTAATTCATATCTCTCCTTGTTTATTTTCCCATTCCCCTCACAACCTCTTATATGTAATTTTGTATAACAATGAGGGTCTCCCTCCATTACCATGCAATTTCCCTTTTCTCTCCCTTTCCATCCCACCTCATGTATCTGTTTAATGTTAATCTTTTCTTCCTGCTCTTCCTCCCTGCTCTGTTCTTAGTTGCTCTCATTATATCAAAGAAGACATTTGGTATTTGTTTTTTAGGGATTGGCTAGCTTCACTAAGCATAATCTGCTCTAGTGCCATCCATTTCCCTGCAAATTCTATGATTTTGTCATTTTTTAGTGCTGCGTAATACTCCATGGTGTATAAATGCCACATTTTTTTTATCCATTCATCTATTGAAGGGCATCTGGGTTGGTTCCACAGTCTAGCAATTGTGAATTGTGCTGCTATGAACATCGATGTAGCAGTATCCCTGTAGTACACTCTTTTAAGGTCTTCAGGGAAAAGTCCAAGAAGGGCAATAGCTGGGTCAAATGGTGGTTCCATTCCCAGCTTTCCCAGGAGTCTCCATACTGTTTTCCAGATTGGCCGCACCAGTTTGCAGTCCCACCAGCAATGTACAAGAGTACCCTTTTCCCCACATCCTCTCCAGCACTTGTTGTTGTTTGACTTCATAATGGCTGCCAATCTTACTGGAGTGAGATGGTATCTTAGGGTGGTTTTGATTTGCATTTCTCTGACTGCTAGAGATGGTGAGCATTTTTTCATGTACTTGTTGATTGATTGTATGTCCTCCTCTGAGAAGTGTCTGTTCAGGTCTTTGGCCCATTTGTTGATTGGGTTATTTGTTTTCTTATTGTTTAATTTTTTGAGTTCTTTGTATACTCTGGATATTAGGGCTCTATCTGAAGTGTGAGGAGTAAAAATTTGTTCCCATGATGTAGGCTCCCTATTTACCTCTTTTATTGTTTCTCTTGCTGAGAGAAAACTTTGCAGTTTAAGTAAGTCCCATTTGTTGATTTTTGTTATCAACTTTTGTGCTATGGGTGTCCTATTAAGGAATTTGGAGCCCGACCCTACAATATGTAGATCGGAGCCAACTTTTTCTTCTATCAGACGCAGAGTCTCTGATTTGATATCTAGCTCCTTGATCCACTTTGAATTAACTTTTGTGCATGGCGAGAGGAGGGGATTCAGTTTCATTTTGTTGCATATGGATTTCCAGTTTTCCCAGCACCATTTGTTGAAGATGCTATCCTCCCTCCATTGCATGCTTTTAGCTCCTTTATCAAATATAAGATAGTTGTAGCTTTGTGGATTAGTCTCTGTGTCCTCTATTCTGTACCATTGGTCCACCCTCCTGTTTTGGTACCAGTACCATGCTGTTTTTGTTACTATTGCTCTGTAATATAGTTTTAAGTCTGGTATCGCTATACCGCCTGATTCGCACTTCCTGCTTAGAATTGCTTTTGCTATTCTGGGTCTTTTATTTTTCCATATGAATTTCATGATTGCTTTATCCATTTCTACAAGAAATGCCTTTGGGATTTTGATTGGCATTGCATTAAACCTATAAAGAACTTTAAGAACCATATGATCATCTCAATAGACGCAGAAAAAGCATTCGAGAAAGTACAGCATCCCTTTATGTTCAAAACATTAGAAAAACTAGGGATAACAGGAACTTACCTCGACATTGTAAAAGCTATCTATGCTAAGCCTCAGCCTAGCATCATTCTCAATGGAGAAAAATTGAAGGCATTCCCCCTAAAATCTGGAACAAGACAGGGATGCCCTCTATCACCACTTCTATTCAATATAGTTCTCGAAACACTGGCCAGAGCAATTAGACAGACGAAAGAAATTAAAGGCATAAAAATAGGAAAGGAAGAACTTAAATTATCACTATTTGCAGATGACATGATTCTATACCTAGAAGACCCAAAAGGGTCTACAAAAAAACTACTAGAACTAATAAATGAATTCAGCAAAGTGGCAGGATATAAAATCAACACGCATAAATCAAAGGCATTTCTGTATATCAGCGACAAAACTTCTGAAACGGAAATGAGGAAAAACACTCCATTCACAATATCCTCAAAAAAATAAAATACTTGGGAATCAACCTAACAAAAGAGGTGAAAGATTTATATAATGAAAACTACAAAACCCTAAAAAGAGAAGTAGAAGAAGATCTTAGAAGATGGAAAAATATACCCTGTTCATGGATAGGCAGAACTAACATCATCAAGAGTATTGGATTATTAAAGGCCCTTCAATCCAGAAGAATGTTACAGTCCCATGGGTGCCATTTACTTTCTGCATAAGCTTCAACAATGTCCTAATGCAAGACTTGGCTCTTGTATTAAAATAAAAACACAATCTCTACCATGCTGTTCTGCAGTGATTTCTTTAGTAATAAATCTCCCATTAATAATGGAATGGTTCCATTTGTACAGATGTGTTCACAAGTCTCTTTTCCATTATGGCAATTCCCGATTACCACCACTTAAAAAATGTTCACATCCTTTAATTTTCAAAAAATGATATTTTGGCACCTGTTTGGATGATACAGACTACAAGAGGCCCTTTGAGGAAAAACAATCAGAATTAAAATGGAATGAACCTTCCCAGCCACTTCCCCCCACCCCCCAACTGAGGGATTAATTGATATGAAGCTGTAAGTAATGACAAGTCATTTAGATTTCTGAAGTCAATCTTTCATAAACTGGTCTTCAATTAAAATAGCCCTTTGAGAGTTAACTTTACTTCACTATTATAGTTTTTGGTCTTACTTAATTAAAATACATTATCACATATTCCATTCTTTCACTTATTTTCTTTCACTGCACATACACATTAATAACAATGGCTAAGCATTCTACCACTGTTTCCACTAATTTATATAAAAATACACATATTATTTAAAAGAACACCTAACGGTCACCCTTTTCTACTAGTAAAGATAAGAGCATGAAGTGTTTCTGAGTATCTCTCCCTTATATTCCCTCCCAGAAAAACAGACTAAACAACTTGATTTAGGAAGCTAATGTTTACTTTCCATCTACCATACAGTAATATATGCTAAGTTAATTTTAAAATTCTAGAAGACAATATTAGAATCTGTGTGTACCCACTTACATGCAGAATTAGTCATCACTGAAAAGGACTATTGATATCTAACTATTAAAGGTTTTTGAGCATTGGAAGTACAGCTTAGTGGTAAGAGACTTATATAGAATGCACAAGACCCTGGGTTCAATCCCTAGCACTGGAAAAACTAAAAACCTTCTAACTTGAAAGTTGTTTCTTTTATTACAGAATTTAAAAATTCATTTAAAAACATGCTAAGTGAAGCAGTAAATGGAAGGAGCCCTAGACTAGGAATTCATAGAGAAGAGATCTATCTCCAGCCTCCACCATTA